TAATAATATGATGATGAAACGCAAATAAATTCGACTGCACCCAAAACGCCGTGAGAGATGTATGGCCACGGTCGTGTAGGCGCCGCCCGACTCACGCAACTTATGCTCAAACACACATTCAAACATACATAAACACACAGACACACTAGAATATTATAATATAGATGCATAAAATTATAATCACTGGAGAATCGCGAATCGCAATCGCAGCTCGCCTGTAAAATTAGGATACAATAACTATTATCATGATACCCATAGGTAGTGCCAGCGGTGTTTACCGAATGATATTCACGACGTTGTCGTACAATAATAATATAATATAATATTGCACACACGACGATGACGCATATTATGTACGACTCTCCTATTGCGAACGTGATCACACAAGAGTATATTATGCGTTAGTAGTTTTATGTTTATGTGTGTTTGTACTAGTACACGTTTTCTGTACTTATATTTTATGTGTACTCAAGGATCGTCGTGATGTGTCTTTATTTTGCCGGTTACAAAAGCTACGCGGTACACCATCTAAATCTTAGTAGGCGCCGTCCTACTAAGATTTCTTCCAAACGCGTCTCCGACATACAGGGATCTCCACAATAGGGAAATAAGCCGTCTATAAAATCCAGTTGGTGTCGGTTATTTTTGGGCTCTTTACAGCATCAGATTCTTTAATATTCAAAAGAGTTCAACGCAAACGTTTGTATTCTGATTGTCTTAACAAAATCCATTGTCACCTCGTGGCTGTATCAACCCTTACATACATTTGTCTGGTAATTCGCCTTAGTTGCTTTTCCTTATCGTACAATTATTATTATTAATTGCTTCTTTTTGTCAGACAGCGTATACTACTATTTTTTGTATCGCCTTCTCGCATACAGATTGTAATAAGCGCACATAGAGCCCTCTCCTCTATGTGTACTTGGAGCTCTTAGACCCTTTGAACTCTTTGACCTTTTGGCTACGTCTGTTTTTGTAACTACAATTTGTTCATCGTTCCCTAGCTACTCCATTAGTTTCATATGAAGGCTACACAGGCAAGTTCCTGGTAGTTTATTTAATTATTGGTTGTCACTCTTACCAGAGAAGTGCGAATAGTTTTTATATTTTTATGACCTTTTTTCTGTTATTATTGTAACCGCTCGGAATTTAAATTTTGTTTTAAGATATTATGTAGGTAGGTACACCGAATATTATCCAATAATATAATACTTGTGTAGTCAACACACACACAATAAACGTCGGGGGACGTATACAAACACTGTGGTTGATTCGATACGGTTTGTCTCCATACACGGGCAGACAATAGTAGCTGTAACGATCCGAAGAATAGGAAAACGTCTTGGCCATTAAAAGCGAACGCGGAACCGGCAATTCGGCAAAATTAAGGTAAACACACGTCGACGCGATTCTATCCAAACAAAATCCTCGTAAACAAAACCCTCTAAAATAAAAAAAATCAATGACGTTTTAGATTTACTCAGGACAACAATAACACGTCTTGTTCCTCTACACAAGCATTTGTTCTGCGAGTCGTTTATTACGATATTACGTTCTTTGGACGACCACCACACACAGTCGCGATAACATAATTATTACTATTACAACTATATTATACTGTCGGCATAATGGAAACCGGTAGTATAGTAATTGAGACTGTGCGGATTGCGAAAAGTAACAATAAGACCGCGACATTGTGTCCTCCGCACGTACAATATAAGAAGCCGCCCCTGTAATAATCGTAAATGGTTACCTTTGGGTGAGCTAAGATCGCCTCGGGAAACGCCTAAGCCGCCTACGGTTTACGCGGCGAAACAAATAATTATTATGTTCGGTTAACGCCGAGGACGAAGAAATGTACTAATATTTTGCGATTTTCGCAAAAAGGAAAAACCACGCCGAGCATATGACATTCCGTCCAAAGAAGGAGTGCTTAAGTACACACCCGTGCGTTTGAAAATATTATTATCTACCTATATCTCTTTACCGACGCCGTCTCGCAATGATGTCACAATGTAATCACACGTCATGTACCTATCTCTGTATCTGACGGATACGCGATTAGTCATCGCAAACTCACGTTCCAGGCAACAATCTAGCCACCGTGTGTGTATACGAAATTATGCCAGTACACGTTTAAACACTATATTATTAGAATAAGGAAGAAACAAAATATACCCATAAAAATGGGCCTTTGCGGGCTGTCGCTTCATCATACATATAAAAGTATGATTTTCCCATTTTTCCTGAAGATATGCAAAAATTATACACCCAAAATATGATAAACGCTTTAGTCGGACCGCGGCTGCAGCAGATTTCTATTTATCCGAAAGCATACACATAATATTTTAATACATACTTTATATCATAACATGTAGGCACACATATATTGTTTTTTTTTTTTTTTTGCAAGTAGTCTCGTGTGCATAAGCATTAATTTGGCGCGCTACCTACACGCAAAAAATTCATCCGACTCTTGACTAGAATTTGGTTTTTTTATTTTTTTATAAGCCCCCACGTATGTCTGCGAAGCTGCTGCTGCTGTTATTATAGTCGACACCTTATACGCCCAAATGTCTGTATAATATATAGAGACGGGCGTTAGTATATTATTATTATTATTGTATTGTAAACTGCCAGATCTCAAACCATTTATCTTTTAGGTTCGCAGAACGTCGCTTTCATAGAGCGACTCAATTGGCGCATGAATCTCGAAGGCTGCATTCCAGAGACACCGAACTTTGTCTTATAGATAAGAAAACACAACCGTACAATTATAAACACTCGCTGTCGCGATATTATGTTTTATAATAACCCCGTTAATTATTTTGGTAATTATAAAAGAACTAATTCGTTGGGTAAGTGTTGTTAAGTTGTTCTTTGCTTTATATGTTTTTTGAACTGATTAAGGTTGACTTATGCAAAATTGATGTACAAAATAATATTGACAAGCTCTCTGGGACGATTACTTAACCTAATGCGGCAGGTCCTTGTAGGCTAAACGGTCACTGTTTATCATTAAATGATATTATTAAAACTAATATTATGGTTAATATAAGGACACAATAATTCCTTGTTGGAATAACTAAATAAATAATTGGACCAACTAAAATTAAAACATTTAGTTGACCAAGCTAAATATATAGTTGCTTTAACTTAAACTTTAGTTGGACCATTTATGGTTTTTTATCTTATGACTTAACTTGTACAATTTACAGGATAGGCTTTTGTTTTGGTGTACATCAGTTTCGAGTGAATGTCGCCGACATATTTTATATATACCTACCTATTATTCATTTCTATCGTATGATTAACATATACATATTTGTGAATATGTATAGTGCACACGGTTCTATGTATAATTTAATATACTTAGGTACAAAATGACGATTAAAAATGGGTTACCCTGGGCCGGGCCGCAGTGAAACTCAATAACACCGCTGGACTCATAAAACAGCGCTGACCCGTTTCCGAGGCAAGTCCGAGTATGTTTTAAATAATTATACATTTCAGAGTTCATGCATGATTATACTGCAGGCCAACCGATACCAAAGAAAGTGCGGAGAAGACAAAGGACGACAGATAAAGTTTCATCGACATTATCAATGTACATAGATCTTCCCAAAAGGAATGCAGCGAATAATTTCTCTCGGACCGGTTCGGCTGTTTTCCAGGCGATTACACCGTCCGCTCATGAATGAACATAAATCAATACGAGCGAATTACTGGAAGAGAGAATTTCTGCCGGTTGACTTCCGAAATTCCCAATGACGTTGGTATTAAAAAAAGTGATACTCTTGTGCGAGTTTTGCTTTATATTTAATTACAATTCTGTTCTGGTCTGGGTGAGTTACACCCTATATATCTTACCGACACAGTATAATGTTTATTATGTAACGTTAATGATACACCGTCCACATAACTAATTTAAATAAATATGATCGTTCGACGACAGAACGAGAGAGAGCTCAACGCGAGACAGCGTGCGGGTTTGCAAATTATCAGTCAGCTTGTGTGCTCACATAATACATTATTAGGCTGCAAGTTTTCCAGATAAAAGCGACCGAATGATACCTTACAATATTAAGACATGTGATGAAATAGACACCGCACAATACCTAAGCTATGGTGTTATTTTTCAAGCTCTGGCTTTCCGTAGTTTTTACATTGTTTACTACATTTTTTTTTATATTGTATTCTAGACTAGGTTACATACGGCTTTATAATGGTTATACGGTAATCTGTAAAACAGTGGACGGAAAGACTAAAGTAGGCTATTTTAAATAGCCCAATAGGCACGAAGTTAATAAGATCTAACTACAAAGTCCTACAGAAAATAATAAACATTAAACCCTCAAGTTTTTCACTTCTTATTACTATAATATTGCTATTAATTTTGGTTTCGCCACAAACTTTTTATTAATATTACTACTCTATACGCTATAGTTAGTGGAAAAAACAAAAGACATTTTTAAAATAGAATATTAGGATATTTTTTAAATGTTTAAACGAATACGATTTTCATTAATGTTCATTGGATTACTTTTTTAGACTAGTTACAGAATATTTCCTAAAGCAAGCATAACTTTCGATATGACAAACATACAATCACAAAATTATGGGGAACAAGTTTTTAGTGACAGCGTATGACAATATTTAATAAATACCTATACTTAATGGCTGCGCCCGAACCGTTAATAGTTATTATTATAAATATTACAATAGTTTTATAATTACTATGTAAAAATTGTGAAATACGAAAAAACAATAAATTCAAAAATATAATATGGTTGTCCAACCCACTTTTAAATGCCATTTATATCTGACTACTACTAAAAAAATACCATTTTGACACTACGGAAAAGTTTTTCAACGGGACATTGTTAACGAGTGCAGTCATTGTGTCGTTTTTCGATGTTGGCGGTTCTAAGGTGTAGTTTTTTTAAAATTTTTTTTTTTTTGTCAACAATTTATGAAAACCATTTCGTAAGTACACTCACCTTTATGGATCAGCTGACGTGCGCGTACATACAAATTCGGCTGTATTCAAAATGGCCCGCCGATCATTAGCGGCATTTACGGCGCTGTGGTTTTGATTGGATTCTCCGACTTGAACGACAAACAAACAAAAAACACAAAAAAAAAAAAAAACCAATAATCTTTTTGAAGTTCACTCGCGCGAGTACAACAAAATCGCAAACACGGTACGACACTGATCGCGTGCGCCAGATTTTGGAGGGAACGCGTGACTGACGGCAGCCCGCAAGCATCGTCGAAACGTGGGGCCTCCCAGAAAAAACCGTGCCGAGGCGGAGACATCTAGCGGCCAGTTAGCTGTCGTAGGCAAACCGGTCACTCGCTGCCTACGCCAACAAAGTCTCGACTGGCCAAAGGTAGGAATGTAAGAAATCGCATTGGACGACCAATTTTCGGAAGACGTGTCCCCAGACAGTACGCTCTGAATTTCTGTTGTTATTGATCTTGCTTAATCAACTCCGACGTTTATGGAGCCCTTTAATAAAACCACAAAAATAACATTAACGTTTTTTTTTTGTTTTTTCCCAAAGCACCGTCCGCATACGATTCCGGATAATTGGAAGTGCTACACGAGTAAATCGGTCCATAAGAAAAAAGTTATGGTGTCTTCAACACAAAAAAAAAACACATCATTACCAAACAAACATCAAACCAATAATTTCTTAGCTATCCCATAAATTAAGCAAGTTATTTGAACAACTTCTCCTCAAAAGTATTAGGCCAATACTACAAGAGCACCACATCTTACCCAACACTCAGTTTGGATTTCGGGAGAGACACTCAACTATACACCAAGTTCATAGGTTGACCGATACAATAACTTCAGCATTTGAAAACTGAAAATACCGCGCTGGTCTATTTCTCGACGTAACCTAAGCCTTTGATAGGGTGTGGCATGACGGGCTGCTTTGCAAATTAAAAAAAAATATTTCCAGCGCCTCTATATTTAATAATAAAGTCGTACTTATACGAAAGGAAGTTTACGGTAAGACAAGGTTGTGCAAAATCTCCTTAGTACAGAATTCAAGCAGGCGTCCCTCAAGGAAGTGACCCGTCTCCTGACCTTTACAATATTTGTACCGCAGACATACCCTAGAATACTAATACTCTTTTTGCTACAGTCGCTGACGATACAGCAATACTTTTTACTCGTAGTAATATTATTGAAGCAGCCCACCACCTACAAACGCACATTAACGTTATTGAATCTTGATTCAGGAACTGGAAAATAAAAATAAACGCAAATAAACCAAGCCAAGTAACATTCACCCTCCGATCCGAAAAATGCCCAGATATAACATTAAACAATACAGTTATTAATACCCAAAATGAAACTAAGTACCTAGGCATAATTTTGGACAAACTATTGATTTGGGACCTCACCTCACAAAAGGAAAAAAAGCCAACAGCAGACTTCATCTCTTTCGTCCACTACTCAAAACAAAAATACTTATTTATCAATCAATAATCAGGCCAGTCTGGTCATATGGCATCCAGATATGAGGACCAGCTAGACCATTTAACATTCGACCAATACAAGCCTTTCAAAATATAACATTACGACTGTTAACCTGTGCGCCTTGGTATGTAACAAATAATAACCTACACAAAGATTTAAACATCAAAACTGTCAAAGAACTTGCTATTTTACACTATTCCAGATTTCACTCAAAACTCAATATAAACACAAACCCTTTAATTAAACGAATGTACACAACGTCAATACCTGACAACCCACCTCGTCGACTTAAACGCAACTGGAACCGAGACCTTTTGACATAACAAAATAACGACAACAATAAAATCATAGCTAAAATACAACTATAAATAAGACTAATTGAGGTGTTACCTGATGACTTCCTTTAACTCTATTAATGCCATGTTATTGAAAATGTAAAAAAAAAAAGCCTTATTGTAAATTTATTTTATACAGATTGTTTTTCTTAATAAAAAATAAAAAATCGCATAAACAACTTGGAACCACCAATGTTGAAAAGTAACACAATGACCACACTCATTAGAAACGCCAATCGATGTTACCCAAATCTATCCTACCTGTAATTTTAAAATTTTTGACATTTTCGATTATAGTACGTCTATAAAGAGAAATGTTCCCCACTTTCGATTGATTCAATGAAACTGATTTCTTTAAATGGCACTTCAATAGTTCAAAACGTATATCTAGTCGTTACTTAAGTCAATGGCTGAAAATGTCCTATTCTTCGCCCTCAAAACAGTACCAAACTATATAAATGATTACAATATTATTTTTTAAGTTTCAAAGTTTCAGTCAACTGTTGTCAAGAGTTGAAGTTTTCCTAGAATATTTATTAGACATTAAAACTATTTATTGTATTCGTATTAATCAAAGTATATAAATCAATCTTCCACTGGATATAGTACATTTTTTTAAACGAATTTCAAAAAGTCTAATATTTAAAATTAACATGATAACCACTCCTAAAACTATTGAAGAATGCTCTAAACATTAAAGTATCATTATTTTTGTAAATCAGCATATTAAAAGAAACACTAAAACATAATTTACAGGACTATTCCTATTTTATGATGTAACATAATAACATTACATGTAAAATGTAATATCAAATTTTAATAACCCTGTTTAAACTGTCCATAGGTATTTTAACTTGAAATTTATACCTATTACCTATATAATTTTATAAATAGGTTAAGCGATTTTGAAATGTTTACATTACTTGAGTATTTATTTGTTTCGCCTGTATTTGCTAAACAAATAATTATTATTTTTTTTAAACTAATTAACATTACGATACCATTCACGGTGTTAAAAAAAGTAAATACTTTACCGCTGTCAATAATATTAAGAGGACGCCACACCGACGTTTATAGGATTAATGTAGTATGACAGTAGGTAGTTGAAATACCTTCAGAGTTATATAATTTTATGGAATTTATCCACATAGGTACAGCCATTACTAAAAAAAAATTGTATTTTTATACGTATCAAAAACACTATTACTTAACGAACGCATACCACATACGTGACGAGTAACTATTAATGTCGCCGGTCTAAGATAAGTAGTGTACTTTACAAATAAGGTAAAATCGACTTATTTAACCTTAATTAAATTAAACTAGCCATAATACGTTTTTATTACAAGTATGCGGTACATTTAACCTTTACATGTTTAAAATATCATTAATTGAAATTTGTTTCAATTCTTTACATGATGTCTGGAAGCGTTACGTAAAAATCATACATGTAATTCGGATCGTCGTGTTACACTCTGTATACTCGGCTTTCGTATAATATTGTTCTATTGGCTCCGAACTAATTAACGGGTTGTAAAATGACTTTAGCCTGAGGTTATATCATTAGATTAGTTCTAATTTGGAATTGCTTGTGTTTCGAGATACGACCGAATACCAGTGTAGGTGTCATTCAAGGCCGCTAGACACTAATGTATACAAGTCCTGTCTCAATCCTTAATTAACCCAAGTTATTATTATTTTTTTTTAAATAATGACTTAACTAAAAGTCTACACAAATAACTGTTTATAAAAACAAAACATCTTATTCACGTTACAACTCCAAACTTGGTTTTGTGCATACTAGTAAGGCAATATAATATATACAAAATAAAATATTTTAATTGGAGTGTAACAATAAATAAAACATTTAATTAGCAAGCGTTTATATAGTTACTCATATTTTACTACCTAGGTATAGAAAGTTATTAGGTTCGTATATATTTCGGGAGCAGTAAAAATAATTACAGTTAGGTTAAGTCGAGTTGAATTTATTGACACGGAAAAAAATCAATTTTGTTGCCTAACTTCAAAAAGACCTTCGCAGCTATTTATTTATTACTTAAACTAAATAGTATAGTCATAATGAGAATATTAATAACACGTATTTTAAGTTTTCATATGATCATAATAATTGATTGAACAAAATGCCAATCATTTTGTAATGAGTACCATTTTGTAATTTATAAACATTTAACGTATAGGCGCTGCCTACAAAATACAATATTATGTACATCAGTTTTCATAATTTTGCCAAAACATTTTTATGTATTAGTTTTTTGATAGCTATTAAAAAATAAGATTTACATGTAATTATGTTTAATAAACATTTTAACGCATCGATTTTAAATAAATTTAATTGTAGATAATATACTCTTTAGATTTATTTTAATAAATAAATACAATTTAGTTTATTAAATTATATGGCTTTTCTCTCCGAGTTTCTACTACACAATAATCGATCACAAAAAATTAAAATCGCGAAACACTTTACTGGAGAATTTATAATCACCTTTATTATTACCCAATGATAACACTAATTTGATGACAACCTAATAATATAAGTACACGAAACCATAAAGCTTTATATAATAGATAATTATTCCAGAAAATACTAAATAACAAGAAACGGATTTGGAATAATTTTACACATATCATTGAATTTGATTGCAATTTAATAGCTTATGACCAGCGGCGACATATTATGTAACGACAAGGGAAATCAATGAACATTATGTTATAATATGGTCTGTGTAACAAGTTAATAAAAAAATGTTACATGGCTTAAAAAAGTAATAACAGTTATAACAGTGGGGATAGAAAATACCAGGGTCGGGACGTTCAGTTTTATAGTAAATAGTCTGAGAAAGTGATGAAATCACTTTCGAGTAAATGTTTAATTTAGCATGGTGAAAAAAAAGTAATTTTATTACTAAAATACTACAATTAAAATGATTTAGTAATACATTACAATAGGACGCCTAAATATTTAAACAGTCTTTAATTAAGAGCTGCTACATCAGGGAAACCGTCAATACGCAACAGTATGTAATATGTTGTTAAGAATCAAGAAGGTCAATTTTTTAAGATAATAAGTAGATATTATTCTTAAAAAGTAAATTAAAAATTATATTTATCAACTATACAAATCATAATCATCGAGTAACCCTCCTGATGTGTATTTGACTACTCAAGGACAAGTAAACTGTATCAAATCGTATCGAAAATTATATATATTTATAGAACCTATAAATAGGCCTTTAATCACAACTGTCAGTGTACAAAACCAAACGATTCATGGTCATACCAATAAGTAGTTCAGACTTGCTAGAATGCTGAAATCACATATCCGCCTAAATTAGAAAACGTTTTTTGACGTAATTATATAAGTAAGTCCTAACGACAGGTGTACA